CTGAATAAGGATTGTTCTTGATGTTCTTCAGAAGTGTGATGGCGATAGCCCGCCACCTTCCTACGTTGTGCTCAGGATGAACGTTTCGCGGAAACGGAGAAATCTCGATAGCAGTACACTGTTCATCTGGTAGTTGAAGACGGTGATCCTCTACGAGCGCCGGACTGATGCCTAGGACGGACAGAATCTTCCTACCAGCCGGCGTAGACGACAGGCGCATTAGCTTTGCAGTCTCTTGGGCTTCAATGATCTCCTCTGGGGTGTTATGAACTCCTAGCTGCATAAGCCATTCAGTGCTTGTTCGCACGTGGATGCCCAACACCCTCTTTACACTTTTTCTGACAAGAGTTTCCAGCTTCTTCTTTTCGAATCCATACCTAGAGTGCATGGCAGCAACGTATGTTATGTGGCTCATGAGGAATGCATGAAAAAGTCTCAGTAGATTTTCTTCTCTGAGTCCCCCCCTTCTGTTCAAAACCCTATTAATCAACCTGAGCATGTTCTCGGTCTTGGTTGAAATCTTAGCGATGGTTTGTCCGTTGTACCCGTGCGACTCTATCACCATGCCCAGTACTCTAATAGCACCCACTCTCGGAATGGGGGCGCCACTTCCAGTGTGAAGTACAATGTCTACCTCTGATAAAGGCTTCAAGTTTTTTGGCCTGGCTCCTTTTCTATTGGGCCTGTATAAAAGCAGCTCCGATTTACTCGAGGAGCACCTCAGCCCTGTGCCAGCAAACAAGAGCTCAGTTTGATCGATGGCTTCCTGGAGTGCAGTCTTGACTTCCCCTTCGCTACCTCCGGGACACCATATGGTAAAATCATCAGCGTAAAGCGTATAGGTAATGCCCTTCACGTTAGATAGCAGTGTAGACAACTTGCATATATCGATGTTAAAGAGAAGCGGAGATATCACCGCTCCTTGCGGCGTGCCTTTAGGGCCCAGTGCTATGGGAGAGGACTTGAGGTCTCCGATATTGAGCGTGGCTTTCCTGGATCCGAGAAAGGAGCTGACGTATCTGTGGAAGGCTTCGCCTAGTCCAAGGTCTGAAATGGAGTTTAAGATGTGAGCGTGAGACATGTTGTCAAACGCTTTTTCCAAGTCAAGACCCAGGATGCCTTTTACGCCCCTTGTGTTCACGTCTATGATTTGATGTTTGAGCAGCTTCATTGTGTCCTGTGCGGACAAAGACGGACGAAACCCAACCATGTTGTAAGGAAAAAGACCTTTCTTCTCAATGTACTTAACACGGTTGTAAACGACGTGCTCCGCCACTTTGCCGACACAGGATGTTAGCGATATGGGCCTTAGATTGCCTAAACCTGGAAGTTGCCCCAGCTTGGGACTTAAGACAACCGATGCCATTTTCCCAAAGTCTGGGACAGAACCTTCTCTCCATAAGCGATTGATCTCATAGGTAAAGAAATTGATGGATTCGTCTTCCAGATTCCTGAGGGCCTTGTTCAAGATGCAATCTGGCCCCGGAGTCGACCATCTATTAAAGTTTTGAAGAACTTCCCAATTGTCGCTGGTGGTAAAGGGCTCTCCGAGCTCATTGCAAGGGGGTCCAGTGTAAGACGGTTAGTCTGAACAGCTCGAGGAGCCACTAGGTAAGTACCTGTGAGCGAAACCATCCAGTATAGCGTCTTCAGAATAAGACTGTCTTGCCGCATGTATCAGTTTAGCAATGGCTTGCCTTTGACTAATCTTGGAATTCGACTCGTGCAAAAGGTGCTTTAGCAAATTCTATTTCCCTCCTATTCTCAATTGGCCATACACAGAATTGCACACCTCATCGCACTGCTGCCTAGAGAAGGTCTGGCAGTGATCCTCGATGGTTTGGTCAAGTTCTGCAATTTTCTTGCGGAGCCGACGATTGAGCTTCTGCCCCTTCCACCTATTCAGTAATAATTTCTTGGCCTCAAGGAGGTGCGCAAGGCGGCTGTTCATCCTATCCGTTTCCAAATCTGTGTGTATCTTTTTTGTCGCCTCACCAACGTCTCCCTTGAACTGTTTGGCCCATTGATCCAGGCTGGCGGTCGAGTGTTCAGCTTGCGCGCGTTTTTTTCTAATATGGAGGAAGTAAACCCAGTGTGTGAAACTAAACTCTCTTATGGGTTTGACCTTTACACTGATATGGGTTGCTAAGACAGTATGGTCACTACCCAGATCCACGTGCAAGTTGTGCCAAGTAGCAGATTCAACATTTTTAACAAAGGTAAGATCCGGCGTGGTGTCCCTCGTGCAGGAGTTACCCATCCTGCTCGGAAATGCTGGGTCCGTGGCCAGGGTGGGGTTCAAGGTTAGGCTCGAAAGATATGTGCCTGCGTTCGAGCGCGTTGGCTTTAGCGTCCAACGCACAGAAGTTAGTGTCCAACGTATCGACCTTGGCATCCAGTGCGCTGAACTTGTCCGCCAAGGTATCGACCTTAACATGAACCAATGCGACTGTTTGGCTAAGCGACTGGAACATGTCTCTGATCTCTGTTTTAAAGCTATTCAGTTCCTCATCAAACGTGAGACTCGTCAAAGCCCTCTTTTCGGCTGGAGGAACAGTACACTGCACTTTCATGGGTGTTTCGACGGGCATCTCCGCGGGTTTTTCTACGGGCGTTACCATGGCCGTTTCTATAGGTGTTTCCACGGGCGTTTCCATAGGCGTTTCAACAGGCATTTCGAGTCTAGTGATATGAAGAAGTTGTGGAGCCCCACTATTAGCGTTATTAGCATTCTTAAGTGCAACTACCTCGACTCTAAGTTGCACGATTGACTGGGAACGACTTGTGGATCGGGGACCGCTCCTGTATCAGGAGTGCCCCCTCGAGCTTCTGGACTGGAACCTGGACTTCTTGGCTGGTTCGGACAGCTGATGTATCAGTGGGAAGTCCTTGTCAATGTCGCAACTCTGTCTTCTGCGCTGTCTGACGATGTAAGGTATCTCGAATCTTTGTGTACAGGTTCTGTCGGCCGTTGGATGAGGCCCTCCACAGAAGGCACACTTCAGTGAGCAAACGTGCTGGTCGCCAGAGGAGGTCATTCCGCAACCTCGATAGATAACGTTTCCTGGAGTGGGGCACACGTCGGCTCTGTGGCCGAGTCTACCACAGGTATAGCAGGCATCCGTCTGCCGTCGGTAGAGGGTGCACTTGACTGTGCTGGGACCACACATGACGTAATTTGGGACTCGAAGTCCTTCGAAGAAGATAACGACTGTGGTAGAATTCTTGATTCGCCACACTTCGAGAACAGTGTGATTCCTCGGCTAAATAAGAAGTCTTCTGAGCTCTTCCTCGTGTATTTCCATATAAATGTTTCTGATGATGCCTTTGCATGTGTTGTCGGGCGCAGCAATGTAAGAGCTAACCTCGTATCTTGCGTTATTAAAGGTGATGGCCTCTGGACTTGCATAGGCCTTGGCGTTGGCTTGTGATGGCGTACTAATCACAACAATGTTCTGCATAGCGTTAGAACAAATGATGTCTTCTGTAATATTCGCAGCGGAGAGACGCGCCGCTGTCGTGAGGGCTTGATAAATCCAGACGTTGCTAGTATTCTTAACGTTGAGACCTCGCCGAGGGCTAACAATGATTCGAAAATGCTCCCTTGGTAGATGAGGCAGCCTTGATGCGTTAGCGAGGCGTTTCTTCACGTTGGCTGGAGATTGGGTGCCAGCGTTCTTGTCGTATGGTGGGCCTTGAACTTCAGCGCCCATCACGGGTGCTTTAGTTGACTTACGCTTAAAAAGCGCCGCTGTCCACCCAGGACACTGCAATTCTTCGAGAGAAATGTCCTCTCCTTGCACAGTGAGTTGCATAGCCAACTTGATAGTTCAAACGCGCTAAGCCTAGCGTTAAGCTTAGCTAAGCCTAACCTTAGGCCTAGCAACCCACGGCGTGGTCGAGCAAGAAAGTCCTTTAAAACTCGGTAAAAGATCCACCCACCGTGACAAAATTGCTTCCACGTGGTCCTCAAGACTTCAGGCATCGACTGGAGCAAAGGGCATCAAACACATAGCTAACTTTCACAGAAAAAAACGGTGAACAAGCAGGAGCCGATGTTTAGACGACCGCATGAATCGGCGCTTCCTAGCGTCTCCCACCATGCCAAAGCTACAAACTCTCATACAACATTCTCTTGCCCCGTACTCCACGAACCACTAAGCTGTATTGTTCAAAATAAAATCCTTCCCACAGCTGTATAACCATTATGTAATCTTTGTATATAATTTTATTCACAATGTAATTGATTACATCTCGTGTGTATTAGGTGTATATAATTTCATTTATACGTAGGTAATAAACATCGTGTGTAATCGATCAACCCTATAACACGGTAAGGAACCTTTGTATGCTGTGTGGGCGAATGTGTCCGGTTTTACCAATAAGCATTGCAGCTTCGCCCCACTGATCATCGTTCACTTTTTTGTTGTTTCCCAATGCAGTTCCACATAGTTTCTTTTTTAGTGTGACCTACACTTCAATGTAGAAAATGGCGACGCTCTGGGGAGGAGGGGTACATTAACATAGGGCCAGCGAATTTAGTATTCCTTAGGCGGTAATTTTAAGATAAATTCCTGTTTTTTTTCTGTTGTGACCTTTTGCAGAGGTACATCAGCCGGCTACACACTGTTCGTAACACTTCCTTTTGTTTCAGAATATTGCCGCCAACGCCATCGTACTTCACGACGAAGTTGCTAAAGCTCATCGTAGCAACCGATATCAATCGCAACATTGCTTTGTGCACGCGATTCATGCGAACTTCATTTTCCATAGCATGACGTACATTGGTGGGCGTGCCTTGGATAACTCAACGTTATGTAGCTGGATGGCCCGGAACAAATTCAGGACATATAGCTGTCCGAAAAGGATTGGGTGGGTTTTGGGACGCTGTATGAAAAGTTGGGACAGTCCCGCAAGATGCGAGATGGTTGGTAACCCTCCTCGGTTCTCGTGAAAAACAGCAAGCATGAGTTGGGTGACACCAGCCGCTTGTTCGAAAATCAGCAACTCGCCTTTATGAAAAGTGGGTGACATCCCGGCTCCCTTGGAAAGCCGCCGCCGATGTCCAGCAATGTAATATCAAAACCGAAATCTCGGCCAACGTCGAAAGTTCGCCTCGCTGCTGCGATCGCTGACGCAAAAGCACTGGCATCCTCGTTGCCTCCTCCGACGTGAAAGCTGCCATTACAAGGGTTAAAATTAGAAGTCATCTTGACCATGACATATAGGACTATTTCAACTAAAGGTACTACTCATTTACTTATTTACTCATTTACTTATTTAGCTCGCACTAGGAGTGCTGTATACGTATCGGACGAGTATCTGACTAGTCACGTCACTCGCGAACGTTAGCGCGCCTGAGAGAAGCCTTCGTAGTGCACATGTCAGGTAAACAAAAAGAACAGTATATTGACGAATTTCATTGCAGACGAAAAGTGCACCTGTTATGTAAAGTTGGGTGAAAAGTAACATTAAACCCTAACATGATTTCCGAAAACACATGTAGGTTTCATGTGCAATAAGAATACCACTTGAAAATACGCGCTTGTTCGTGCCTTTTCCTTTTGCCCTTCTGTAAAATGGGCGCTTTTTACATTCTGTAATGCATGATATTGCGAAGTCAGAGATTTTGCATTGGCGAAACTTAAAGGGTGCGATCAAAATTCTTGTCATAAATTTGTCATGTTACTAATAACTTCCGATACCCTACTACTGTAACTGAAAAAAAAACAGTGCTCGTCGTTACAACGAATATTTACAGATTATACCCTTACATGCAGTCGACTCGAGTACTTCTCATTCCAACCCTTTGAATATTAGAATCATACAAATGACGTAAATGCGCACCGAACTACGTATGAAAGCCAGGTAAAAAATCGTGAGTTATGGGCGAGTATGTATATTCTAATTTTTGAACGCTCCATGTTTACTTGTTCATTGATTATTTTTGCCGTGTTCAACCGCAAATGCTATCACTGTCAATTTCAATATCAGTGAAGTATAACTCTCTGGTCTCCGTTCTGCTAGCCTTCACAAAATGCACGCTGGGCACGTAACTGCGCCACAAGGTTCAGTAGAAATCATAGTGCAGGTTTTAAACAAGAAGTGTTGCCATCACCATATGCCCACAACTGCCATATTGAGGGCCTTGGCCAGATGGAGCAGCTCGACAGCCTGACCATCAGAGCAGCCATACTTGTCGCCCAGGCGAAACCAAGCATTCTTGTTTTCCACCTTTAATCTCAACACTAGGCGTGTGCTTGGGTAGTGCTCTTTTATCTGTCGGCCGAAAACGAACAAGCAACTTGTAATGACAAATTCTGCCAATTTAAGAAAGCACGCAAACCTAGTAAACGGCCCATTATTTACAAATACATGGACTTATCTCAACTTGTACTCAATGTTTCATGACCCTTCAACCCACCGGGGTTGTCTAGTGTGCTCGACTGCTGGCCCGCAGGTCGCGGAATCGATTCGCTGCGTGGCGCGACCGCATGTTCGAAGGAGCAGAAAATGCTCGAGGCCAGGTGCGCGTTGAGGAAATTTCCGGAGCCCTCTACAACGGCGTCTCTCAAAATCATACCATGGTTTTGGGACGTTCAACCCCAATAATTATTAATGATTCATGATTTTCTTGTTGCGCTTAGGAGAAGGAGACGAAGACGAAACGGAGACTACAGGGCAAATGTTTGCAAGACTCTCTGCCTCACCCTCGTGTCGCAATCTGAAGCACGAAAAAAATCATGAACCACCAACAACCAGGCCATATCCTAGCTCTGCTCAAATCAATCCTCAGACTGCAGCCTGCGCAACGTTAAACTTATGCTCCCGGACACTCGAGACAACACTGTTGCGTCTGTAGATGACTAAGCTTAAGTCACTGCCACTCAAGGAGTAAAGCGTATCAAGCTATCCCATTGTTGCGTGATTTCGTCTGACTGAAAAAGGGCATAGTGGGGCATATCCAAGTAAGGTGCCTCAGACTGAGAGTGAAGAAGTGGACGTTGTCGGTGAGCTGCGTTGTGGCTGCGGACTGACAACTGTTATTTTCCACGTAACATTTTGGTGGAAGTGCTGGGTGCTCTTCTGACAACGGAGCTACGCAGTGGACGCCTCCTTAAGTCTGCTACCATGGCTCCGGGTGAGGATACGGCTTCGCCACCTACCTCAGCAACGACAGCAACCCGGTACGTCGCCCTAACGCAACCCCGTGATCCCGGTACCTTTACTGGAGAGGACAACGCGAATGTGGACAAGTGGCTTAGCATGTACGAGCGCATCAGCAAGCAATATGGCTGGGACCCAACCGTTATGCTTGCGAATGTCATTTTCTATCTTGACAAGACCTTTCGCGTCTGGTTTGAGACCCACGAGCACGAAATCACAAGCTGGGAAATGTTTAAACAACAGCTCCGCGACCTTTTTGAAAACCCGTTTGGTCAACAGCTTGATGCCCGAAAGCAATTGGCTGTACGTACACAGACGTCCACTGAGCCCCACTTGACTTATATTCAAGACGTCTTAGCGTTGTGTCAAAGGGCCGATCCCAACATGACTGAGGCCGACAAGATTTCGCACGTTTTAAAAGGAATCGCCGACGATGCGTTCAGCCTGCTTGTATTTACCAACGTAACGACCATCGACGCCGTGATAAAAGAGTGCCACCGTCTCGAGCAGGTGAAGAGTCGACGGATTTTGCAGCAGTTTCAGCGCCTACCCAACACCACGGCAACGTCGTCTTGCGAAGCCACTCCTTGTCATCCGTCTACAACCGAAGACGTGACGCGCATCGTCCGACGTGAACTCGAGGCCGCTTACCCGGCTGCCAACAAACCGACGTTGCCCGACGCCTCAACGCCAGCTGTCGCCTTGATCCAGGCTGTTGTCCGCCAGAAATTCGCTAACCTTGGTATCCTGTCCACTGCATCTACACTGGATAATACTGGTCCCTCAATAGCTTCTGTGGACATGAGACGTCGCCGTCCGTACTCTATTCGAACCAGGAACCCGTCTGAATGGCGAACAGCTGATGATAAGCCAATCTGCTTCCGCTGTGGTCGCGCAGGACACATCGCTCGTTACTGCCGCAGCCAATGGCCATCTATGTCTTCTGGCTCGTAGCCCGCTTACAGTAACTCATTCCGTCCACCAAACCACCGTTATCCGACCCGCACTGAGTCTACAGCATTTACTGCCCCTGAGGACTACGGCCACCTTGCCCCGTCGTCGCCACCGCCTCAAAGCCGCCCTTCTCGTTCAAACACGCGTCACCGCTCTCCCTCGCCATCGTTCAACCGCCGCATGTTCCCGGAAAACTAAGCTGCGCAGCTTCTGGAGGTGAAGCTGCCCTGTCAACCTTACCCAAAAATCCTCTGTTGCCCTTACGTTTGAACCGAAACACCCTAGAAGTATATGCTGATGGCACACCTGTTGAAGCTTTGATAGATACGGGCGCTCACGTCTGTATTATGAGTTCGCGTTTTCGTCGTCGCATGAAGAAGGTCCTCACGCCCCCCTTGACCAGTGTCGTCCAAGTTGCAGATGGTGCAAAAGTCCCTGTCGTCGTTATGTGCACAGCTCAACTTACTGTAGCCGGTCATCAAGTGGTCGTCCTTTTTACCGTGCTTGCAACATGTCCCCACGACCTCATACTAGGCCTCGATTTGCTTGCCGCCAATTCTGCCCTGTTTGATTGCTCCGCTGGTGTGCTCCGCCTTGAACTGCCACAAATGAGTGCCGCCCTATACCAACCTACATGCCGATTACAATGCAGCGATTTTGTTCGCCTGCCCTCCAAAACTGTGACGTACGTCGATTTTCTGTGCTCACCAGCTGTGCCCGACGGTGACTATTCCGCTACGCCTCTCACAGACGTACTCCTTGCGCACAATGTTGCAGTGCCCTATACGGTGCTCAGCATCACAGATAACAAAACTTGTCTACCTCTTCTCAATTTCGGCTACATGAATCATGTGCTTCCACGAGGCATTTCTGTGGCCCACCTGTGTCCGTTGCTCGATTCAGAAATTGAAGTGCTTGCCTTAGACACACTTGTTTTACCGCAGCGCACATCACTAGCAACACATTCGGGCAGCCGTCAAATTGTAGACATGATCGCCACTGATCTTCCGCCTCCGCAAGTTGAAGCCCTACAACATCTTCTCGAGGCCTACTAGGATATTTTCGATTTTGGTGACCGACCTCTTGGGCAGACGTCCTTTGTCCAGCATCGCATACACACAGGTGATGCCAACCCTGTTCACCGCCGTCCCTACAGTGTCTGCTTTTGAGCGGAGCATAATTCAGAAGGAGGTGAACAAGATGCGAGCGAAGGACATTATTGAACCATCCTCCAGTCCCTGGGCATCCCCGGTGGTATTAGTTAAAAAGAAGGACGGATCGTGGCGATTTTGTGTGGACTACCGCCACCATAACAACATCACCAAGAAAGACGCATACTCTCTGCCCCGCATTGATGACGCCCTTGATTGCCTCCATGGTGCCGCCTACTTTTCTTCCATCGATCTTCGTTCTGGTTATTGGCAGATTGCCGTGGACCCCATGGACCGAGAGAAGACGGCTTTTGTAACACCCGATGGCCTCTACCAATTCAAAGTCATGCCTTTCGGCTTATGTAATGCCCCCGCCACCTTTGAACGAATGATGGACTCCCTGCTCCATGGATTCAAGTGGTCTACGTGTCTTTGTTATCTGGATGACGTGATTGTGTTTGCTCCCACTTTTGGAGCGCACCTTGAGAGACTGTCGAAAATTCTTGATGCATTCCGTCTCGCCGGCCTTCAGCTGAATTCATCAAAGTGCCGGTTTGGTCGCCATCGCATTACAATACTTGGACATATTGTTGACGCTTACGGCGTACAGCCTGACCCAGAAAAAGTTCGAGCTGTGAAGGACTTTCATGTGCCGAAAACCGCCAAAGATGTCCGCAGCTTTGTGGGGTTCCGCTCCTATTTTCGGCGGTTCATCAAGAACTTCGCGGAAATCGCTCGGCTCCTAACAGATTTACTCAAACCAGATGAGACCTGGGGTTCCTCGCAAGCAGCATCATTTTCCGACATGACCACTTTGCTCACTTCTTCTCCTGTGCTGGCTCACTTCGACCCTACGGCACCGACCGAAGTGCGCACCGATGCCAGCGGTTACGGAATAGGCGCTGTGTTGGCTCAGCGACAACGTGCGCAGCATCGCGTGATAGCTTATGCCAGCAGGCTGCTGTCCACCTCGGAGCGTGATTATTCCATCACACAGCGCGAATGCCTAGCGCTGGTGTAGGCAGTCGCGAAATCTTGCCCTTACTTATACGGCCGACCATTTATAGTTCTTACCGACCACCACGCTCTCTGCTGGCTCGCCTCCCTCAAAGATCCCACAGGTCGTCTCGCCCGCTGGGCACTCCGCCTCCAGGAGTATTCTTACAGCGTAGTGTACAAATCAGGAAAACTGCACAAAGTTGTGGATTGTCTGTCACGCTACCCTGTGGCCGACTGTGATCCTACGAGCACTGATTCTGTGGGCTGCATCCTTTCCATCTCCCAGCTGCTTCATCTCGGGGACGAGCAGCGTCGCGATCCGGATATCAGTCAGCCTAATACAACAGCTCGAATCTTCACCGCAAGACGCTTCTGTTCGCATGTTTACCTTAAAGGACCACACCTTATATTCGGCGTAATTCATCGCCCAGTGGTCTCAACCTACTTCTGGTCATACCAAAGCACCTGCGTTCCACAGTCCTACGCGAGCTCCATGACGCGCCAACCGAGGGTCACCTTGGTGTCTCTCGCACATATGACCGGGTGCGCCGCCGCTTCTACTGGCCTGGCCTTTCACGCTCTGTACGTCGCTATGTCAACGCTTTTGAAATTTGCCAGCGTCACAAAAAGCCGTCGGGACTACCTTCCGGATATCTTCAGCCCATCGACATCCCATCGGAGACATTCTTCCGTGTTGGTTTGGACCTTCTCGGTCCCTTCCCAACATCCGCCTCCGGAAACAAGTGGGTCGCGGTGGCTACGGATTACGCGACCCATTATGCAGTTACGCGAGCCATGCCAACAAGCTGCGCTACAGACGCCGCTGATTTTCTACTAGGCGATCTCATTTTAGTGCATGGAGCCCCTCGTCAACTGCTGACAGACCGAGGCCGTACGTTCCTTTCGAAAGTGGTTGACGATATCCTGCGTTCCTGCTGTACCCAACATAAGCTCACGACATCGTACCACCCCTCGACAAACGGGCTTACAGAACGTTTAAACCGCACCCTGACAGACATGCTATCGAAATACGTCTCGGCCGACCCTCGTGATTGGGACCTTGCACTACCCTACGTGACGTTCGCATACAATTTCTCCCGGCATGACACTGCCGGGTACTCGCCATTTTACCTTTTGTTTGGACGCGAACCAACATTGCCGTTGAATACCTTCCTGCCAGCCGCTGCGCAGTCTACTTCTGAATATGCACACGACGCTATTACCCGAGCTGACCACGCTCGTCAGCTTGCCCGCAGCAGATTAATGGCGTCCCAAGACTCGCAGAAGCATCGTTACGACGAGCGGCATCGCGACGAACACTTTCCAACAGGTTCCCTCGTTCTTCTTTGGTCCCCTACACAACATGCAGGCCTTTCAGAAAAACTTCTCTCTCGTTTCACAGGCCCATACCGCGTGCTTAGACGAGTGACCGACACTACATATGAAATTGTCCCTGATAATCCATCAACCTCTTCCGCTCTGCTGTCAAGGGACATCGTCCACGTATCAAGGCTCAAGCGTTACCACACTGCTCCGGCTGTGGCCCCGTAAACTCGCCGGGTCGGCGCTTTTGCCGCCGGGGGTCGTGTTACGTGATTTCGTCTGACTGAAAGAGGGCATAGTGGGGCATACCCAAGTAAGGTGCCTCAGACTGAGAGTGAAGAAGTGGACGTTGTCGGGGAGCTGCGTTGTGGCTGCGGACTGACAACTGTTATTTTCCGCGTAACACTATACATGGCGAAGCCCTATGTAATGCGGCGATAAACGGAAGCAGCAGTCCAACCTTCAACGTTCTCTTGGAAGCACTGAACCAACGGAGCGCGAGAGTTCCAATACCTTATAATTTGATTAATCAGGAAACTGTGACTAGGTAGGAATTTGTAGTCAAACCTTGACGTTCCAGAACCGCAATAGGAGTGTGGAACGCCGTAGTGGAAGACTCTGTAAGCTTCGGCAACCAGGGGTTGTCTTACGTGCACCTGAATCGAAATAAATTTGTCTCTTGCAATTTCGCCACCATTGAAAATGTAGCCGCCGTGGCCAGGATTCGGTCCCGCGACCTACGGACTAGCAGTTGAGCATCGTAAACACCTAACCATGCTGGCAGGTTCACAGCAAACTTCAGCACGAAGCAAATGCTGGTATTACAACGCCGTTTGAGCAGATGGCTTAGAACTCAATAATTGACATCTTTGTTATTCAAGCAATACTTACAAAGTGGAAGTGTTAAACTATATTATTTCAATACCTCGCAGTAAAAATGCAGTACGTACACACCACTGGCACTCATGCGAAGCCGGCAAGTTGTCTTGCATTCTTGGTTTTGTATAATACTGGCGGAGTAAGTCGTCCACGACATTTGCAGGTACCAGGCTCAACAAGCACAACAATTACTGTAGTACACTCAGTTTCACCATCTTTACCTTGTAAAGTTCATTGCGGCAGTCGAATGTCATGAGATCGACTCCCTGCTTCCAGGCACGGCGAAGGTAGGTGACGTGCTTTTGCGGGTGAGCGTAGATGATGCGAGATGGGTCTACGCCAAGCGAGACCATGGTTTCGATTTCTGCGATGCTCGCGCAATCAAAGCCGATGCCAAGGCTCGCAAGCACTTCCAGAATGACTGGGTTATTGTTGCACTTGACAGCTGCGTGTATGAGGAGTTGGAGTTAGAAAAATTTTCACACCGAATCTTCAGCTAAAGAAAAGCATACAGGAATAAACAATTGTCGTAAGTTGGATCTTTTGAGTGGGGCAGAAAGAAACAGGGCTGAAGTGCCAAACCGAGTAAATTCGTCAAGGTAGCGGCTGCGTGCTGCAGGCAATGATGAAAGTAAAGTTATTCGTTGAAAAGGTAATCGAGCAATGCACATGGAACGTGCTTTAACTTCGTCTTCAAGAGCGGAATTGATAACGCAGCCGCAAATCGTTCGCAACGCATTCTCGCTCGCTTTCTACGCTTCGCTTGTTGGTGCGCACCTACACAATGCCGCGAGAAAAGGAGAGAGAGAACACAACTAACCCGTAAGGCCATGCACGGGAAATGGTCGGATCCCCTATCACAAGGATCCTCTGGTCTTTGCCAATACCACTTCTTGTTTGAGCAGCCGAGGCTGATTTTGTAAGGACAGCACTGCCATTCGTTGTTCCTGCGTGTTGTTAAATTTGTGATGTATTTTCAATGGGTATAGCGCCCACTACCGCTTGATCTGAGGCAGATTTGGTGCCGCACCCCATCACGGACATATATTCCTGTATGCGGTCGCATGAATTCCTGCAGTCTGTGTAAGTTGCTAGATGTATATGTGCAGAGTCTGCGTATCACCGTAGATTGAGAGTTGTTAGATTCTTATATGGTGCGGAATTTCTTATTGTATTATTCCTGTAATGGTGAAGAATTGAGACGCAATCATGTTTTGAGGGCAACGAGTCTTCCTCTAAAGTGTTCGTGGAGGTCAGTTTACTAGTGAAACCACGAGCCACCTCGTGCACAAATAGGTGTTAGTGCTTGGCACAATTAGTTGTCAGCGTTCATCTGTCTGTCTGTCTGTCTGTCTGTCTGTCTGTCTGTCGGTCTGTCTGTCTGTCTGTCACGTGTCTGTCCACCCGTTCATCCGTCCGTCCATTCATTTAGTGAACACTCTAAGTACCGCCACTTCGCATCTTTTCATCATATATTCATCATATACAAGTACTGCCATCCAGCGGACATTTCCAGGACTGAATGAGAAGTGGCTACCTATTACTGCTACATACATCGAGGACGCACGACCAATGGCTTAATAAGCTTCACCCTAAAACACTTCGCGAACAAATTTGACACAAAAGAGTGTCATACTCTAGCAGGAATCGGCTTGTATTGCTGTGTCATTATCCGCAGGAGTGGTACGCCAACTGCAGTTAGTCGCACGTTGATACAACTGCATTATTACTAGTTGACAATCAGGATAGACAAACTGCCACATAAAAAATAATGGTTAATCTTTATATATTGCACGAGAGTGAAACCTGTCTTCACCGAGGTAGTTCTACTTTTTGGGGGGCGAAGCTCTTAAAACCGTAGATCTGTCCCTTCTAGCTCATACGTGACCGCCTAGTTCGATGACTCACTCGGCACGTGTGGATACATGGATGAACGAATGAGCGGACGGACTAGACAGACAGACGGGCGAACGGATCGACACATGGATAGATGGATGGATGTACAGATGATCCACGGTTTACCGATAAAGCTATCGAAAGCTTCGCTCGACTCATCATCATTCACTCCGTGGATTTGCCGTTATTTTAGTTTTTAGGTCACGAGTGAAAGCTTGTATGATGTCTGTGAATGTTTGATTGATATTGAACCCTTTGATATGAACGCATCTACTTTATTGCATGGTCGCATGTCTTCATCCTGACAACTAAAGTTCATGACTATGGTAAAACTTCTGCAGGTATGTCTGGCCTGTTTGAGTGACTCTGAGTGGATCGATTTCGTATGTGCCTGTGTGTGTCCGTGTTTCGTTCTTACTTTCTTCTCTCTCCTCTCTCTTTCAACTTCCTGTTCCCCAACCTTAGTGAAGGGTAGCATACCAGATGCTAGCATCTGGTTAACCTCCTCGCCTTGCTAATTTTTCTTTTTGCTCTCTCTCTCTCTCTCTTTGTGGTACTCTAAGTAATTATTAAAAGCCCAGACATGGTATGTAATGGTGACTTCCGCACACAGATGGCGTCAGGTGGTATACGACAGGCACTCATGAAGAGCCTTGTCGTTTTAGAAGAGCAGTGGCGAGGTATTGAATTCTCTACAAATTGGGTAACCTACACACAAGAATTTCAGAATGTGCTCATTCATGCAGTGCCACGCTGGACTTCAGGCAGGCGAGTGGTAGTGCTCGTTGCCTGAGCCATGGACGCACAAGGTCGTCGTACTTCCTGCTGGCGTGTCTTTATCTGCACCAAAACTCACCGCGCGACATTCGCTCGTCTACGTCGGTATCTTCTATAATGCTTAATGCTGAAGTTTTCCCAGTCATCGCCATCACGTTCAAAGCAGTAGATGACTGAGAAACATACCTGGTGCAGGTGGAAGCTTCACTATGCTTGCCTCTCGGAAGTACGTGCTGACACGACGCGAAAAACAGGGCGCATATCTGTGCAGACGTGGAATCGAATCACTCTTCCAACGATAGCCTCGGTGGGAAATGGGGAGAGGGGAAGGTGAAAAATTAAAACACTGCGCTGTGCAACAAAAACATGAACCAGAAGAGAACAAGAAATGGAGCGTTCTTTTCTCGTGCATTTTTTTGCGCGGCGCTTTGTTTATTGATGTACGACTCACTTGTCCTAGCAAAAGGCAGTACCGATGATTTTTATTGGCGCTTAATGGAAGCGGAAATCTGGGAGACAGCCTCCGCTGCCCTGAAGATATACCGAAATGTTTCCTGTAAGAGCTCATTTGTATCATAGTGCTGTACTTCATTTATCTGCTCCTAGATGGTAGCACCACCCTTGCAAACCAAGAGACGTTGAGGGAGATATCAACGTTGAGGGAGTGTCAGCCTTTAAGCACGTGTGATGGTAGCGCAGAGGGTGAAGCGCCGGGCACCTATTATCGCGGACAGGTGAATCGTTTTAACCAAATCGGCAAAACTTATTTTGTTTTCTGGGTTTCACTTATGTATTTACACGACCAATATACGTCAAAAATATTTCATCACTGTGTTACCCAGTTGGAAAAAAACATTTGGAACCAATTAGAAATATGAATGGGTCCAAATGGTAATAGCGATTTCCCATTGCATCAATCGTATTCCCAACCAGACCATTTGAAATTTCCAAATGGTTCAAGATCATGTGCTCAATTCCAATTGGGCCGAATGGGCCCACTAACTGGACCATTTGATCCAATTGAAAATACCAATACAAATACAAATACAATATACCAATATATAACAAAATACGAATACAATACAAATACAAATTCATTCAACCAATTGGAAGCTCTCAATTGGAAGCTCACTTGCAATAGAAAATAAAATACCCAACTGAACTATTTGGTTCAATAGAAACTGCCAAATGGAAACAATCGTTTTCAATTAGGCCAGGCATTTTAAATACAAGTTTGCGCCTACAAATAATTAACAGAGTTAAGTAATCAAGAACTTCGACTTCATTCACTTTCGACTTGCGTAAACAGCTATATATGGCTACGTAGCTATCGCGTGAAGGGAGAGACTGGTTTGCTCGCTCTGTGTGCCGCGCTCCGATTTTATCGGTTTACATACACTGGCAAATAGTCACATCCCGTCTTATTTTACGTAAAATATTTGTGGTGGAGATGCTGGTCCTTCCCTGTACCCATCACGAAGCTCCGCAACGGCTACATCATCACGGGCTTATCATGTCACAGGTTCAAGGTACATCGTCTTCACCACCCGCTTCTTGTGTGACGCCTACCTACGTTGTCCTACCTCCTGGTGGTGATCCAGGCGTATTTTCCGGACACGATGGCCTTGACGTTGACAAGTGGCTCAACGTGTGTGAACGGATCAGCGCCAGCTTGATGTGGGACCCGACACTCATGCTTGCCAACGTGCTTTTTTACCTTGATGGCCCTCCAGTGGGTGGGGTTCGAGGCGCACGAAGCCGACATTGCCAGCTGCGACACTTCCAAGGAGAAGATCCGTGACCTTTTTATGAACACCGCTGCACGACAGAAAACTCCGCGACACCAGTTGGAAACTCGGGCTCAGACGTCTACCGCATCCTACGTCGCGTATATTCACGACGTCATCGCCCTTTGCCGCCAGGTAATGAACATATGCCCGAGCCTGAGAACGTATCGAATGTGCTCAAAGGCATCGCCGACGATGCATTCAACCTGCTTGTATACACTAACGTCACCGCTATCGATGAAATCATGAAAGAGTGCCGGCGGTTCGAACACGCCAAGAAGCCGTCGTATCACGCAGATATTCACACGACTGCCCAACACGGCCACAACTTCATCGTGTGAAGCTGCTCGCCAACCACCCACTTATGACCACGTAACCCGAATTGTTTGTCGGGAGCTTGAAGCTGTCTACCAAGAACACATTCAACAGCCGGTTTTTACAACCCAAGCCAGTGACCCATCACACCCATCAATAGCCTTAATTCAAGCTGTGGTAAGGCAGGAGTGCGCTAATCTCGGTCTTCCGTCAGCGTGTCCCGTGACTCACTTTGAAGTACACCCATACCCCTCAGGTGACGCTCGCCGATCTCCTCCATCATTGCCCTTTCAGAACCCTACGCAATGGCGAACCCCTGACGACCAGCCTATCTGCTTTTCCTGTCATCAACCTGGACACATTTCTCGTTACTGCCGTCGCCGCTGGTCCAACCTACCACGTCAGAGCTACCCTACTTATATGCGCCCTACCACTTCTGGACATCCAGCCGCTACACTGTCAACCTTTCAGTCGCCGCCTCCTCACAAGCCTCTCCCCACTGACGCCCCTTCTTCCGGTAGCCGCTACTCCCGCTCCCCGTCGCCGCTACGCCGCCAGTCCCACTCTCCGCCGTCTTGGCGACTTTCTCGCCGAGCTTCTCTGGACGATCGCAGCAGGAAAACTAGACATTGCAGCTTATGGAGGTGACGCTGCTATATCAACGACTGCC